CAATAGAGATGCGTTCAACATTTTGAATCTTCCCGACAGAAGAATTTGAATGGGGTTCACACGAAATGGATGATAAAACGACCAGTTTCAAAACACTGAGAATAGTGAGCCGGATATGCTCCATTTTTAACGCGTATTTGAGTATTGCCATGCTGCATGAACTCGAAAAGCAAAAAAGATGGCTTCAAGTGCATTCATATACTTCTTTTTGAAACAATTCACGACCCATCTTGCCAGATAAAAACATAAGCGGAGATCGGATTACTGGAAGAGAATTAGCCTTATGATTGGATAAAGCGAGTCAACGGCGGCAAGATAAAATGACTGCAACGCCAAAAGTGACGGACTGAGCAAGGGCTGCACTTTATCCTATTACATATTATAACATACGCATCTGACCATGACCATGCCGTTCCAATCTCACTTATTAAATTGAATATGGAAAATCAACGGGATAGCCAAACCCGGCCCGGTGAATGGGAAAAAGGTAAATTTTTTGCAACAATTAACTTGAGATCAAGATTCTTCAACCAGAAATAGAATACTTCGATATTAATCAAGAAGGCGGAGGAGTCAATTGATGTAGCAGAGGAGGAAAACCTCAATAAACAGTCAGGAACCCGAGAACTGTGACCCTTATTCCGCTCGCTTATTACTTTGGAGAAGTTAAGGGCTCAGTTCCCGACCGTTTGGATGAGGGTGCATCGAGATAATGTTTCAAGATAGGACGGCGCTTCAAAATACTTCCAAAATGAAAATGGAACGCTCGTAATAACGAGACCCATTTAGACATACTCACTGCCTTCAAATGAAACCTTATGATGAACAAAACACATACCTCACCAAAAGCCCAGATGGCATTGTTGCACACAGAAATGTGCGACGGGTCGAAATTCATAGCCAAAATGGGGATGAACGTCTCTGAAATTGCTGCAGTCAATCCGAGAAAATTTCAACACCTCAATGAAGCGGAGATAGAAAGCCAGTCTACAATTCTCACTTAACAAAATGTAGGGTGACAAGTCGTGTTAGAATTTCTAGTGAGAACTCACGCGTGTACGGCTTAATGTGATGCCAACAAGCTTTTGTTAAATCGCCAAGTAATGCAAAGCTGCTCTGTCGAACTTCTGGCGTTGGATCCTAAAATAAGAGCTCGAGTATATGAGTAAAACTATGAGCATTTGTATAAGTAATAGAAGGAAAGAGAAACCAAAGATTGAAAATCCAAAGTTGCTTACCACAGCACACAACGACAGCAATTGCAGAACTTCATTGCGACCAACTAACGGCTCAATATGAGCGCCCAAACTTTCCGCCAGTCCTGACAGCAAGTCCAAGGCAACAATGAGATAATCCTAGAGACGTTAAATTGTATGCAACAATAAAACTTCGAATGCTTCGGAATCACCTTGTCCGGCATTTCTACTTCATTGGGTCGCTGCTGCGCTTCAACAGATTGACGTAAAGACTGCGTTATTAGAGTGATGCACCTTAATAAACTGAATTGGGAAGGACCAAAGATATTTAGAAACGGCCAGAAGCTAATCACCAAAGCAAAAATATTTCCACTAAGTGAAGCTATATTACCTTGTATAAACTGGTTCGCAGTACGGTAAAAAGGCTATACCCATGGCCGATGCAACTGACGATACGCATTCAAGGAGAGGAAACAGCTCCTAAAATACGAATAAGTAACGGTACATCTCATTACGAGCTGTGGTTCAAAAAAGTAATAGTTCAGTCACCTTATCATCGTTTCCAAGCCTCTGCCATTTTTCCATAAGCGGGGGCATAAGCACTTGCACATACATGGGCTCACTCAAAGCATTACCGACAGAATTTGCCAAAGTACCGACAGCATCGTACAAAATCAGTAAATTCTTTGCCTGAAAAAAAATTTATGGAGTATTCACTCCATCTTACATACAAATTTTTGTGCTTCCAACAACCATGACGACAGCAAGATTTTGAAGTGAGTCACAGAAGCCGCGGGGGGGGGGGCAACGCAAATCGGCTACGGATGAATATTATATCCAATTGATTTGTATGCATGCGCGCCGTACATGCGTATTTTACATGTTCGTCCATAATTTTCGGAATAGCTTATATTCATAATTGAGAAAATTCCCGATAAACTATGTAAAATCTTGAACGAAGCTCTATGGCTCTATGGATGGCAAGACTTGCTGTTCAGTCCAACCGATTAGAGAAGAAGAATTTTACTACATTGCTGTTGC